CTATCTATCTATCTATCTAGTTGTGAAATTTTAGCTAAAGTGGAGGCACTGAAACTAGTTGAAGGGGAACCTTAAACAGAAGCATCAAAAGAAATGTAGGTGGCATAAGCACTGAAAGTAGTTGAAGTGAAAAATCTGGAAGGAATTGAGGAGTCAGTTGAAGTGCAAGCACTAAAAGGTGAAGTGATAGATGAAAAGTTGAAATTTCAGTTTGTGAAAATGAGTAGAAGGCTCATTCAGAGTCAGTCATTGGAGCACAACATGCATTGCATGCAGTAGAGATCACTGTTATTTATTCATACAAAGTTGCCAATTGTGTGTTTTTGAATGTGTTCAAGGTTGCTGCTTTTAACTCTGTACCTTTCGTGAGGAAACTGAATGTCTCTCCCTCTCTGTTTCTCTGCTTCCTGCTTACCCTTGACCTCTTTCTTTCATCCTTTCCTTTCTTTCTCCGTGTTTCTCTCTACCAGGTGGAGCAGTTCAAACAAGATCCCAGCCCCTCCAAGTGTCTGCACTCCGTGTTCAATGTGGACACTGGTGACGAGGTGTACTCCTACAGCGACTACCACCATCTGCAGGTCAGCCAGCACGCACACAAATGTAGAAATGAGACCACCCTCAACAGTTTTTTGCATATACACATTGTGTATGTGTGTGTAATGTAACGATTAGATATCTTTGCTAGCTGTTGTTGAAATGTCCAGGTGTAACAATCATATCTACAATGATCAGAAGCTTCTTAAGGCTAAAGAGGTTTATTGCGTATTGTACACGCTGAAGAGTCAAATCCTACAACACTATTCTGACATTATATCTCCTGTCACATATCTAATGTAACAATACTGAAAATGATTTCACTGGCTGTGATCAGGGAAGAAACAATGTTTCTTGTTGTTGCTAAAGATGAATGAGCAATGGAACGAGCAAATTAGACAATCGATCTCTTTTGTTTTTGAGTGTCATGGGAAATGCCCATAAAAGAATGTGTGTCCCTCTGCTCGGCATATACTGTTGGAAAATTGACTTGACTCAACTGACTCTGAGGTAGATGTGCATTAAACTGGCACTAAAACAACTTATTCTTCTGTCAATGGTATTGACAGAGGTCAATTTGCTGTGTAACGTTTGGATGGAGACTGCATTTCTAGTGAGAGATGGCCAATACGTCAAGAGAGCTAGATAGAAAATCTAAATAATAATGACTGTGACAAAGAAAAAACTCAAAAATCATCAGAGCTGTCTAGACGTTAAGCACGTACTGTATATCCATTTATTTTTTGGCTGTAAGTTCTTCTCCAGCAACTTTACTGTGAAGTAAATTGCATTATTGATGATACCAGTCCAATGCCAAAGGCCTAATAGCTAATATAAAGCTCACATCTCAGTCTCTACACTATGTAGGAAATCAAAGACAGCTGTATTGACTAATGTGGAAATATCACGCAGTGTACAAGTGACAGTAATTTCTTTAATGGTATCTCATCCACCCTGTCCTCCCCTCTCTCTTTGCTGCAGATCGATGCCGTTTCTCTGTTTCTGCTGTACCTGGTGGAGATGATCTGCTGTGGTCTGCAGATCATTTACAACACTGATGAGGTAAACAAGACACTGAAATAACTACCAATGTGATTGATTCTGGACATTAGGGATTTAAACCCTGTCCTGTTTATTAGTCTGATATTTTCAGGCTACTCCACTAGCAGCAATAGGTATCCATGTCCAAGTCCCAGACGGTTTAAAACAACTTATTTTCTTTTATAGATAATTATACAAAAGAAACGTTTCCTCAGGCAGAATATTCCTGTTTCGTGTGCCTTTCCCTTACTCTGAACATTAAAGGTCCAGTGTGTAACATTTAGGAGGATCTACTGGCAGAAATGGAATATAATGGTCATTAGTATTCATTAGTCATTATTTTCATCACCTGAAAATAAGAATCGGTGTGTTTTTGTTACCCGAGAATGAGACAATTTTATTTATGGAGGGAGTGGATCCTTTCCCACAAAGTACGCCATGTTGAGCCACCATGTTTCTACAGTAGGCCAGAACCGACTAACCAAACCCTGGTTGTAGAAAGGGCCTTTCCCGTTTTTTGAGTTTTGTGGCCACCATAGTTTCTCCCACCTTGGAAGTCTGAGCTGTATTCAAATTGTTGCAATCTGCAACTTCATTATTAGATGCCACTGAATCCTATAGACTGGTGGCGGAAATTCCCTGTATATATGTTAGAATACATGTGTACATGGATTTTCTGTTGGTCCAAAGCCTTTTGTCTAGACTTATATATCAATAACTATTGTTCGGATTGTGTGTGCGATTTTGTTCAGACATTCCTGGTCCCAATATGGTGAATTCTGCTAACTGTGTTGATCCTCTGACTTTTCATATAACACCACCAGCAGGTCAAAATCCTACTTTGTTTAACACTTTGACCAAATACCTGAAAAACTAATGTCATTCCCATTGATCAGGCTGGATTTTCATATTTTGTGTTAATGCTGAAAATGGTAAACATTGACACACAAGCATTTAAGCATTGTCATTAGCATGCTGTATATGAAAGCACATGTAGAGAAGATGCATCAATGAAAGACTCATCATTAGTACTACTTCAATATTCTGAAACAAATTATCGGACCTAATGAGATTTATAAATCTTGAATTAGGTGACGCTACCCTCTGAAGATCCAACCAGATGCTATAAAGTAAGACCAAAGGGTTTCTAAATCCAGTTATATGTACCCTAAATCCCCTACAGATATTTTAGAGCCGACACACGCGGGATCAGGGGACAGTATCTCACTTTTATAGCTCGGCTCACATTTATATTTTTGCTGAGCCGCTCAATTGACTTTCAACAGGGAAACATTAAGATGATTTCATTGTGGAGGCTTTAATGTCCTCCTGGGAATCGAACCGGTAACATCTTATTTGGCAGCACACCAACCCAGACTATTACTGAAAAGCTGCTTTGAATGATGTCTTCAGAGTTTGATGTATCTGACCGGTGTCATTTTTTTCATGTTTGAGCTCTTAAAAAAACCACGAGGCGACTTGACTGTTAGGTTTACACACTGTGCTGTTTTTTGTGTGGCCCTGAGGAGCAGTTGGAACTTCATTAATTCTGTTAGTTTTAATAGTCTCCTCATTCACAGCTTTACTTACCGCCACAGAGTGGTGAAATCTGTGCCGCTGGTAAAGGAATCCATTTGTTTACTAGATTGGGCTTATTTTAAGAAAGTAAGGACATGGTAAACATTTTGCCACTAACCAATTAGTTTGCACAGGCTTCACTTTGTTTACAAAAAACCTTCCCTAATAACCTCACATTCTTCTCCATTTCTCACTGCTGATGGCAAACACATTGACACTATAACTTTTTTATGAGGGCAGTCCTGTTTGCGCAGCAGCCTTTATTTGCACGTTTAAGCACTGCTTATTAGGTTGCATAATTCAAGCTGAAGCAGTCTGCGCCCCCCCCCACCGCCCATCCGTCAATTAACAAACATCCGATCCAGTGAGCAACAGGACTTGTGATTTGTGTTTTCGCTGAACGCTGTTTGAAAAGCGTTACATTTGGACTAATCACATTATTATGGTATTGTTTATGAGTTTGTTGTTAGCTGTCACTGCTTGTGAAGTCCATTGGCGTTTACTTGACTGAGCTGGAAGCTGCATTGCAGTATTTTTTTTTTTCTTAAGGTGGTATAGAAAGGCTGCTGCGTGTCCTCTGAGAAGATGCACTATCGACCTCCTTCCAGATGCCATTTTCAGTTTCATGCAGCATGAAATGGAGCGTCTCATTAGCCTGTGTGTTTCACAATCTGCGTTTTTTCACGATACACGTGTATGCATTTTGTCCCCAGTGTCCCCACTGCTGGCAGGGTGAAAGCAGCAGCACATGTAGTATGCTTCTGCAAATGTGCCCGTGTGCGCACACCTCCTCTCAAAAAAACAGGCAGAACTGGCAAGGACAGTCGTCTAGCAGCGGGGAGACAGAGAGGCTTGTTTGGCCGGTGGGCAGTAACATTCATTAAGATACCATTAAGATACTAAAAAGTTCCCCTCGTTAATCACTCCACTCATAAAACCCCCAAATGAGAGAACCGGCAAACACCTTTCTCTCTTTCCCAGCCTCGTCTGCTAATGCTCCCTCTTTCCCTGCCCTCCTTCGCAGACTGGCCTATTTAAGTCCTACACAGGTTGTATCTGCTCCTCTCTACCTTTCTTTTTCACTCTCTCGTCTCTCTCTTTTCCTCTCCCCCGCTTTGTCATTTGAGATTAAATCTCACATCAGTCAAGCACACACACACACACACACACACACATACACACATGCTCGCACTGCTACTTTCAGGTCTTTTTAATGATTCAGGCCCTTTAAGGCATCACACATTTTATGTCTCTCCCTTTCAGTTTTTTTGACATGTCTCTATAGACATGGTGTCTTTCTCCACGGCCTGTGTGGGCCAGATGATAGATACGAGAAACTCCCCAACACTCCTAATTACAACTTTAAAATTGTGAGGCCGCCAATTTGTTTGGTGATGAAATCAAGGGCACTGCTGATGAGCTTTTACAGTCTGTGATGAAAGATAGGATGCGCTGATAATTAAAATTTTGTTATAAACGGGTGTTGTGATATGTGTCCATTCGGTACCGTGTCATGGGCGGTTGACTTCACTACTTAATTCCACCTTGTCTTTAGCTGCAGGGTGAATTTGACCTTGAGCACTGATGAGGAGTCAGCTTTCTTGTCCACTTACTAACCTTTATAATGAGAGGGAGAGTTACACGCTTCACCCCAGATCAATACCAAAGGTCACCCATTACTGTACATGTATGTAAGTGTGTGTAATGGCTGTGTGTGTGTGTGTGTGTGTGTAGCTGTGGCTTAAATTATGTACTGTGTGATTTTGTTTGTGTCTCAGTATGGAGACATGTTTACTACCCGCAGCCCCTGGGTCTATGAGTGCAAGTGTATGTGTAAGATACTGTGTGTGTGTGCTTACGCGTGTCTGTATTGCATCCACTCCCAATGTCCCATACCTTCATGTGTTTGGTGTGTGTTTTCTGTGTGCAGGTTTCCTTCATCCAGAATCTGGTATTCTGTGTGGAAAGAGCCTACAGGGTGCCCGACTACGGGATGTGGGAGAGAGGCAGCAAATACAACAACGGCAGCACTGAGCTGCATTCCAGGTCAGTCAAAAGGCTCAGCCAAAATATGGAAATACAGAAATATGCAAAATAAATGTTCAAAGTAAGGTTCAAATGTGAGTATTTACATATTGCTACTAATTGAAACTGCCAAATGCTGATATCTTCTAAAGGAACACTTTGCTGATTTCAAGCCTTGTTTTCTTTGTATTAATCATAGAGGTGGCATAGCAATAACACCCACAACACTTTACCGATCTGTATCACTGTCAGCAGCCGTATCGGCGTTGTTTACCACACCACTAAATCTACAGGGAGAGTTTGTCAGAGATAAGTTTTATTTTCTCCTCAGCACCCGCTGGGAAGCACACTGTAGCAGAAATTGATTCCCAGTATATATATATATATACACACATGGAACTTTATAGATTACACTGTGTCGCAAGTGACTGTGATGCTGTAAATGCCACTGTTGCATGTTAGCTTTTGTTGAATTATACTGCCATGCTAGTGCTGCAGAGTGTGTGTGTGGGTGTGTGTTAACACGGGGGTTGAAACTCTCTTCAAACATAAACTGAAGCAAACAGTCAGTACCAAGAGAGCAGTGGACTACTAAATGCCTCTGTAACCTGATGAACTCTCTGTGTAGGGCTGTGATGTAATAATATAACTGCATTCAACTAGGCATGCACAGAGGTAGGGAGAGATGGATGGAGGGAAGACGGATACAATGGAAGGAAGGAATGGGGTGAGATGAAGGTGAAGGGAGAGAGAATCAGGTAACAGAGGTACCGAGTTATAGAAGGTATGAAATTATAGTTACAGAAGGCATGAAAGCACAAGAGATACATGCAGCAATAGTGTCGTTGTCTTCTGCCCCTAAAAACTGTTCTGATTGATGGGATATTTGTCCCTTCCACTCGTGTTTGCCATGTCTGAATATTTTTCAGCAGGGTTGTGTAAAGGGGCAACACAGGACACACTTTTGGTCTTTTGTCAGTTTAAATTGTATTTTCATTGAGCTCAGACAGTTTTGCCTTTGCCAAACCAGAACATAGACTCATCATTAATATTCTATGTTTTTAGAATTATTAACAATATCAGCAAAAAAAGAAATCTGCTTTGAAGCACAAATCATGTTGAATGCCTGCATAAAACAAGGATTAGAAGACTGAAATATTTGTTCAATCCAAAACAACCTTTTATCAGCCCCTCTTTGCTCTTAATTTTAAAGGGTGGATGCCTCCAAATTATTATTATTTTAGCACTATCTTTTATTTTAAAAAGCTGACTTCTTTAAATTTAATCTCTTAAATAAATTCCTGAGTAAGACACGTTGTCTGTTTTTAGACCAGTGAAACACTTACATTCTTGTTAGATATTTAAACCTGCATTACTTCATTTTTTGAACACTTGGGCAGCACAACAAGTTGTAAACACAATTGTGTCATATTATCACCTTATAGACTTAATAACTTGGGAGCAAAGAGCTGCTACCACATTAAGTTGTTTGATTTCATAATACTGTCAAACCAAATTGCAACTAGAATCTAGAGCAGTGCAACAAGCTGTAAGCACAGTGACATATTATCGCCATATAAGGTTGATATAGAGAATGTGTTAGCAAGTATCTCTTTGTACCCTCTGCCTCTGCCTGCACTGAGGGTTAGTACAGGGCTTACCAAAAGAGCCGTCATGTGCAATGTCTACAAACCCTCTGAAAAACCTTTAAAGATTTCAAACACTGAATGATAGATAAGGACTGCAATGCACAAGTGTTGATTTTTAAGGAAGAAATTGTTTGTTTTAATGTACACCAACCAGAATGAAAACATTTCAAGGATGCAGTGAGGCAAATTAAATTCGACAATTTAAAATAATACAAAAATAACTCACTATCTAAATATCAGTCATGGTGAGGAATTATTGACCAATGTGTGTTTACCGCAGCTCAAGTTTTTAGAAAAGAAGCAATTTCAGGGTAGTGGCAGCAACGTGTCCATTTTATGTTTTCTTCCCCAGTGAGCAAATAACCTGTACTGAGGAAAAATGTAATGGATCAACAGTCAGAACTATTAACTGTTCTCACGGTAAGGATTTTGGAACACACGGTAAAACACAGGGACTGTGCTCGGCCAGTGAACTCAGATTGTGGTTTTTGTTACGTGCTCCTAACTGATTTATCATCCAAGGTCGAACTGGCCTCCCTCTTCTCCCTCAGTGTCTTGATAAAGATCCTCAATTTCTGCCATTGCTTATCTCTGGGAAGCATGTTTTTTTTTCTTTCTCCAACAATCCAAGGCTATATGCAGCAGCTTGCCAAGATATCCTCAAAAGAAGATAAATTCGAGTGAAGAAGCACTGTCTTGCGCTTCTTGTATTTCCTCCCCTCGAGGTCATGCTTTAGATTTACACAATTAGTGAGCTAGCTTATACATGTAGTTGTGTAATACCAATTAACATGCTGTATGCAAACAGTGAACTGTGGTAGGGGCAGATTCAAAATGGTCATATGTAAACAAGATCTCTGTAAATCATCAAATTGAACAGTCATTTCTAGTTGCAGAGCGCCAGTGGGTAGAAAAAGGCTCTGTGGAGATGAACAGAAAAGTATGCATTCATTTTGGCAGAGTATTTATTTGTCCATATTAAATCAAATGATTCATTGTATTTGCTTCTGCCTCATCTTTATCATCACTCCCAGTCAAATGGCTTGACTGGATCTGTTTTATTCAAAGTAGCATATCTAATCTTGTAAGCATCGGGATATCATAACTTATGATGAGATAAATGTAATTTTATTACAAATATAAAAACAGGACTGTGCTCATATGTTCATGAATGATTTCAACAGAATAAACATCATGATAGTCAACTTTTCATTCACTTTACAACAGAACAAATTTAAATCATTAGAGTCTAAATGTGCTGTAATAAACTGAATGCTATTATTGTTTTGTTACCATCCCTACTATACTGTATATCATAAACAGTCACTACTAGTTCTACCAGGCAAAGTGGGCAACTGCCCGAGGGCCCCAAACCTCCAGGGGCTCAAAAGTTCCTGGGTTATTTGCTTTTCATGTTTTTTGTCAATTTGATTACTGACTAATGAAACTGACTTTACTGGGGAGTTTAGTCACCTAAAGTACAGTTTTAAAATCTTGTGGTCCTTTCATGTGGGACACTGTGTCAGTATTTAGTTTTAAGACCTTTAAGCTGCTCTAATCAATATTTTTCTATTAATAATGCATCAAACGACTATGTAAAGTGAAATGGGTCACTCACAGTCACAACCGAACAAGGAATTGACTGACGTTCCCCTGAGCTTTATTGAGTGTTTTAGCATCTTTCAGCTAATTGTCTATTTTATGGCCTATAACTTTACTGTTCAGTCTCACTTCTTTTATCAACCTGTTGCCACCCACAGCAGACAGCTGTTTTCTGTGAATAAACCCACTGTACTTGCCCAGCACCAAAAAACAGACGCAAAAATTAGAAACTGGCTGGTGGAAACAGTGAAGTACTACACCTTTATAAGGTGATAATATGTCATTGCTGTCTTGTTGCACTGCAACAAATATCAATTAATGCAGATTTAATTATTTTTGTTTGGAAAAAGAAAAAAACAATTTAATCAAACCACTAAGAGCATATCACATGGTACTCATTGAGGTGGTTCAGTTCTCATCATATGACGTAAACTTTGGATAATTTCAAGTTCCATTGAATTTTATTTGTATAGTGCCAAATCATTACAGAAGTTATATCAGGGCACTTTTCAAATAAAGCAGGTCAAGACCGTACTCCACTGAGACCCAACAATTCCCACCCTGAGCAAGCATGTGGTGACAGTGGCAAGGAAAAACTTTCTTTTAAGAGGCAGCAACCTCCAGCAGACCCTGGCTCTAGGTGGGCAACTGTCTGCCTTCACTGATTGGGTTTCGAGAAGGGGTCCCAAAGTGCCAGCCCAGGGGCCATTTCCCTGCCCCCCATCTCTCTCCCTCTGGCCCATGACATGATGTCAAAAATATAATATAATCCAGCAGGCAAGATTATTATTTAGTTTTTTAATATCAATTAGACTAGCCCTTCATATACAATTAAAGATTAATGTATAATGTTTACAAATAATAATGTATTTTGTTCCTTAATTTTGTTTGTATTTATTTTTATGTAAACTGATGTTTGCATTATTTTGTGAGGTATTGTAAATGCTTTCAGAATATTGTGCTTTCTTGTAGTACTTGTGTTACAGAAGCCCTCTTATGAGATGACAATACC